TCAGCTTTTCTTTTTTTTCAAGCGAAGATGAGATTAGATTTTGGCACGCACGAAAAGTTGTGCAAGAACCAGTTGCTTGACATACCTGCGTGGCCCGTGCGACGAAATAACTTTCCGGGATTGGCAAAGTTTCAGTCACAGGAAATTATGCAGAAAATCTAGAAAGATTCAAGCTTAAATCTTGTTTAACGTTTAAAGCGACATATCAATGACTGCAATCATCGTGTTGTGTACAAACCTCGCAAACTTTGAAACACGTTCTCTAGTGATACCTGCCAAAGTATTCAGTACAATTTCCGGTAAGATTTTCGCGGACATGATCGATTTCTCTTACATCACCTCAAACAAATCTCCGTCGCACGGTTAAAACAAACATAGCGAGCAACTGAGCTACTAGTATATGTCCGTGTTAAAACACACGAAAGGACTCTAAAGCACACTTCACTCTGATTGGGCAGAAAAACACAAAGATTTTCTGGCACCAATCAGATGGCAGAACGACTGTGACCGTTTGGAACTAGTCTTGTAAGACAATGTCCCCAGGGGCTCTTCATGCCCTAACTTGAAATCCACTCAGCCCCTGGGTCTCCGAGGATGGATGTGGACCTGCACTAATTACAATTATCAATTAATAAAAACCTAGATAGTGAATAAATCGAAAATGGGTATATAAATAATGACAATTGAAATAAAAAATATTAATAACAATACAGAGTAAATATTAACAGTATTTAAAGTCAAAAGATTTGTTGGAAACGCTGTAGGAAGCTTAGCAAAACTGATAGATTTCAGAATACTCTTGTTTTCCTTACTTAAGTTTTCTTCATATTTAGTACAATACTGAAAAAATAATATTACCTTAGAAGGGTACACTGGACTATAAGCCATCTCATTATGAAACTCAATGACAGCTTCCGGCGGCTCATCGCTTGCTGTATATGTCCCAGAGTTCTTATCGAGTTCCTGACGTTCCACTGCACCGCCTTCATAAGCCATTCCCTTGCAGCCGAGCCCTTGTGTCAGATTAGAGAAGTCAGCGGCTGTCGTCAGTGGGAGGTTGCGAAGCAAAACAGCGCCGTAGTGAGGCAGATTTTCCTCCAGATATCCGCGGCAACCAGTGACGCAGTCTTCAATGTGACGTGGATGTTCGATCTTTACTGCGTGCGGAAATGTATCCGTGGGGGAAGATAATGCTTCAGGGAATCCATCCCCAGTAGAACCCGGCAAAAAATTCTTGCCCGCTAATCTGGGTGGCGTGGAAGGTTGAATTTCTGCTGGAGTCAACGCGGTAATCCTTTGTCCAACCTGGTTAGATTCCTGAGCTTTCGTTGTCAGGGGACATAATGATGAGGTGCTCATGAGCACAGGTGCGATTTGGAACCTTCGAAGCGATCTCAGCTGCATTTCTTTTGAATAGTGCGTGTACGTTACTAAAATAACAAAATACATAAGTTGAACTAAATGTACACTCCTTAGGAGACAAGATCTGTCCGCCAAATCTCAGTATGGAAGATATATAATTATATTTGAACTACCAACTAACGTGCAACTGTAAAGAAGGTTTTAGAATTTCTCTTCTAGGGCTTTTAGTTCTACGTCAGCGATTAAAAGCTGAACTGAGAAACGAAAGAAAAAAATGTCACACAATGCGTGACTGGAGTTGTCTTTCAAAAGTTCGCTGCCGTAGAAGGCTTGACTCACAGCAAGAAAATCCAAGTGCTTTTTTCTTTACGGCAAAGAACCACCCTTAAGGGAGCTTAGTAAATAACGATTGCTGAATCTTAATTAAATGAGCCTTTTTTAACGATTTCTGTTGTAACAAATTGATATTTCGTAGTATCATTTTACGTCGAGGGTAATTTAACATATTGTGGAGAATGACTAATCATTTCTTGACCAAGCTCCCATGTTTCTTTTGAGCACTAACTTTATGGTACCTGTTATGTTCTATTTTATGATTAAAAATTGCTTAACTTACCCATCAAGGAGAGGAATTTGAAACGGTTCATTTGTATCTAGGAGTGAAAATTAGTGGTTGGAACACGCCTGGCCTATGTTGCAATTACCTTCTGTATCACTTGATCAGAAATTCTTCTTCAAATTTGTATCCTGAGGGCCTAGAAGGACTTTTCAGATTTTCAAAGAGCATTAAAAAGGTGAACTCTGCTTTAGAGAAGAGCTTTCTGATTCAGTTTATAACAAATCCCTGTTCGTCTACTGACTCCCTTTAATGTCATCTGAGATGGAATTTCATCGTTTCCTGAAGTTCCTTCTTGACAGGCTGAGAATTCCGGGGATTAAATTAACCAGTCAAAGCAATAATGTAAACCATTTCAGAGATCAAATTACCCACATTTCCAATCAAGACAAAGGATAAGACCTGTCTTGCTATTTGCACGATTAGTAAAAATAATTTCATATTAATTTGAAACACTTCACGCTTCCAACGAAGGCTTAACGCATCTCGGAGGTGGCCTACTGAATTCGCAGGAGAATTCCATAAAAGGCAAAGGCAACGATAGCATTTGGACGCGAGCCAGAAAACTGGATTGAGGCTTCCGATTGGAGACCGCGCTTCCTGTTAGAGCCAGATATAAAAATAAATTGTAATTTGCAAGAGTCCGCTCCAATTTCAGCTGTGACGGGTCAGCATTTCGCGTTTTTGATATTGGCGATATGCGATAAGACAATGTGACTGCTTGATTAATGTTTACCATTTTTAGCTTGCTGATCTAAAGTGTATTTTGACTTTTTGAGTGCCACGTCAGGGTCGTCGGAAGGGCACGAAGAAAAGGATATTAAAACATCAACGGAGTACCTAATATTTTTAATTGAAATTCTTTTAAACATGTTCTGCCCAAATTCTCTGGCTCGTTTGAGACTGCAAGTCACTTTGCGGTCGATGGGTCAGAACAGAACAGTTGTGTGGCGTGACAAACCCGGGCAATAATTAAATTTATACAAGGTGTTCAAAGCTATTTAGAAGTTACAACTCTGAAAATAATTTTAACACTTTTGGGGAGAAGAATACTCTGGATCGATCGATACGTACTGGATGGATACGTGACATTCGGACTAACTTCTTCGGTAACCTAAGATACTCAATATCTAAGTTCGATTAACAAGATAGGTTGCAGACGAGTATGAGCGCTATATAAATAAAGATATCTTTTCCCAAAATAAAAAACCAACGACAATATTAAGCATACGCTCTCTAACGACCCTTGCACTTCAGGTTAGCGACCGACCCTAAATGCTCCTGAATATCTCAGCAGGGCTTGAAATCTTCGACCATCGAAAAGTAAATATTTCAAAATGCTTGAATATTCTGACACAGTCATGTACGCAGAGAATGTTCTAAGGCATCGAGACAGATAATTGCAAGTCTTACTGATACATTGGTTCATTTTCCCATCTTCAGGTGTTTTTCAGAAGTATCGATGTTTGGTCACTAGTATTTCTCAGTCATTCTTCTTTGTACTACTAAAACATAAGCTGTTGCTGGATTGTTTACCTACCATTTACATCGGGTCAACCTTCGCATAGTAAACCTTTGCAATGTTGTACTTTCCAAATCTCTTGCTTACAATTGATGAGCATACTAACCTTTGCTAGCCAACCAAACTCTGTTTTAGACAGCAGCTTCGCTGTGAAAAAAAAAAGACGGGTCTGTTCTTGTTATTACCCGCTTTGAAAAAGCTGTGCTTTCTTGCGAGACCAAAGCGAATTTTGCATTTAATTACAAATGCATGTCATTACATAATTAGGTGCTAGGCAAGACAACAATGCAACAACTGAGCATTATGCAGTTCGACAAAGGCTGCGCTGTATGTCGATATCACCTTTATTACTTTCTCTGTAAGGAACGGAAACCAAGAGACAAGCTTTTCTTTATTAACGGAAAAGTAACGACTCCTTACTGTTCATTTTGCATTCTACACAACTTCGAGGGCGGTGCCGCAGTCACGCAACTGCCACGACAACAAGACTTAATCATCAAGTACAAAGCCAAGAAAAATAAAACAGCAGCAGCGTGGTTGCCTATGACAATAAACAATGAAAGGGCGGTTGCGTGTATTCTAAACCATCCACCGGATCAATAAAAAAGAGACAAAAAGAAAATCATCCACACTTAAAGAGATTTCAAATTCATGTGTCGAAAGGAAAACCTAGAGACTTAAAGAAATTATCATGCATCACCTCTCAAAACCTTGATTGCTGAGGCCATAAATTATCTAATTTACATTATAACATAACCAAAGTAAAGCGTGCGTTATGATGGATCAATTCAGCGTCAACCATTTACCCATGGGTGTACGCTGCTGACGTGAGCAAATGCTAAGACTAGTTCAGTTTTCCGCGCGCGCTTGTCTTTTCTGGTCACGTAAGATTTGTTAAATAAAAAGGAACTCTTTTGCTAAAATGTATCAATGTTATCAATGTTATGTTATGAAACAAATGGTAATAATCACAGTGTACACTATTGAGTTATGGATGCACTTGGGAGGTTTGCTAAGCAAATCGTTAATTAATAACGATGCAGGAGCAAATTCATGATCTATGCAAAGCTGTGATCGAAATGACAAGGAGTGGTCATTGCGAGTATTGACAATGGATTGAAAGCTTCAAATGGGAGAAATTCGTCGTGTTCTTCTCATTTAACTTAAAATTCGCTAACTCAATGTGGAGAACTGGAACTAGAAACGGACTGGTACTAGTAAAAAAAGGATGATGCAATCAAAGAGAGAGAGAGAGAGAGAGAGAGAGATGTAAAATGGCGAAAAACGCCACCGATGTTTGTCAATAAAATAGTTATTTGCCGTTTATGGACGTGAGGTCTAACATCAACACCTCACCTACGAAGTCTTAGTCGCTAATAGATATGACACGAGTTCTTTCTGCCCTTGGGGAAGCATGCCTAAGGTAATCCTTGGGTAATCCTTTGGTAATCCTTTATACTAGAGAGCTTTAAAATGAACAAATCTACATTGCATGCTCTAGTCAAACCACCGAAATAAACTTTTCGTTGTAACAAATTCATTGTTTCTACGTTCAAATTCCTATTCTCCACGGCAAAAGTACACAATTGTTGCCTAGTTTAAATTCTAACTATGGATTTTGTCCACTTCTGCGCCAAGCAGCCGTATTCCACCGTGAAGGATTGGTGCCAATCCGCTCTTCTCTTCTCTTCATTCGATTGTCTTGAACTTACGTATCTTTCTGGTCAGCAGCCCCACTCCTTGCCTTGGCTTGACGTTGTTTGAGTCGCTCTCTCCAGTCTCCTTTAATCTCTTCGAAGTTGGGATTGTAAGCTGCCTGACCACTAGAGAAAATATAGTATTACGTCAGTCAAAGCATGTTTTGAATGACTCACTAAACTCTGAAACATACAAAAGGAAAAAAAACAAGGAAAAAAAAAAAAGAGAAAGAAAAGAAAAAGAACAGAAAGGAAAGAAACGCTCGGGCAACATTCGAAAAAATTACATCAACTCCTTGTCCTTCTTTAAAACACATATTAATATACATTAACGAGTGAAATTGACATGATAAATTTTTTCATGTCGAGTTCAAAGTCTGCCCAGTTTCCAAGCTCCGTGTCCGCGAAGTGTTCTCAAACGTTTGCCAACTGAGGGAAAAGTGTCTTCTTTTGCAGATTGTTTAAAAAATTGTAGAATAAAACAATTATTGATTTCGGTCATCGCATGATGTCATGTTCAACCTTATCCAATAACTGCTTATTATATCAATGTCACTTTGAGAGACAATTTGAGAAATGCAGTACAACTTGCATTTTGGCGATAGGAGCTATAAAAGGTGTTCCAAAAATTGGTTCAATTAAAGTACCGGACACAAAAAGCATGAAAATAAGTTTATATCCCCAGGATACAGGGCCTCCCGTCTAATGAAGGAAGGATCAAATCATCAAAGAAACTACTTGGTGGCGAAAAAAACCATTCGTGTTCCTTAAATGGAGGTGTCCCTTACACAGGAGTCCTTTACATGAACACAGCAGTTAAAAAGGTTAAGGATGCATTATTTGCAGGTTGGACCATAGTTTGTGTCGCCTGAACAGAGGTGTTTCAAAGGAGCACTTCTACTACAGGCCTCCGAGCACTGATGCTTCTCAGTAGGAGAGAAGAATTAAGTCAAATCCTAGAACATATCATCACTGGCGTGTTTAAAGAAAAGCGATACCTACCTTGAGAGATGTTCTCTCTTCCACTCTTCTATTTGTCGAGAGGGATCGATTTGGTCCTCTTCGTCCTCACTGCTATCCAATGCTGGTTCTTCTTGTTGCTTTATACTCTGCCATTTTTGAACCAGAGAGGAAACTTTTCGCGCCTTCGACGACAATAGCGATGTACCAACCTTGGAGCCCTACGACCACAAATTTGTTTCTGAATAAATGGCCTCTGTACTCTTCCTTGGATTGATACCAAACATTATCATAATATTTCAACGAAATGAACCTTAGGACTCTTGCTTGTTCAAAATCCAATCTAGAAGTTAGAAACATCGGACGTGCAGAGACAAGGAGCAAGGACATCCCTTTGAGTAAACCCTTTTGGAAAAAGCTGAGAACTAGAGGCAATGTTCAGCGGCAGGCATTTTTTTCACTATTTGTTCATTTTACTTCGAAGCGTGGAAGGTTCAAGACCTTTTTACACGTTAGAGCATTGGAAGAAAGCTTCATTTTACTTCCATGTAGCTTGAAAGACAACACAATGTCAGGGTAAAGTCATCAATCTTGAACAGACATTTTTTTGTGAAACTTAAAAACTGGGAAGACTAGAAACATTTCAGTATCAAATATTATTGCGTTCCAAGACAAAAGCCAACTAGGTATAACGCAACTATACAGCAAACAACAACGGTAAATGTTCTACGGTTTTGAGGTTTCCTTGCATCTCCTGAAATTCAGTTTCACTTGTTAGCGCACAAATTCAAAGTGTTCGCGGTTTTCTTAACCTGAGAAGTTGGGCAAAGAAACTGTCGCAACAACGCGCGGCCACTAAATCCTCTCGTCAATTCGCTGATGTTTACCCACCTTTACCGTTTGATCTAGCTCTGACAATTTTTTCGAGTTAAGTATTTAAAACTCACTTTTTTCTTCTTTTTCACTTTAGGTTTGGCCGTTGAACCGGTGGGTATGGACACACCAGCAGCTGCAACTCCCTACGAGGAAAACGAAACTCCGTTTAAGATGATAGTCTGACCTTTTATGCAAGAAAAGAAAAGCAAATTATTAACAGCACCATCTTTAGTTCAATCTTCCTCATTCAAATCTTACAAACCTGTGATGGCGCCGAGAACTGGGTCCCAGTGCTTTCAGTCACAGCTGCGGGCTCAATAAATAGAGGTGGACTTGCACTAGTGGCGTCCAAATCAGAATAGTCAACAATGGATCGAGAAAGCGGCACAGACTTTGCGATGGTGGTTGCAACCGTCGGCTGCCCACTGATGAAAGGCGACATGGCTCTGGTTACTGTAGTCGACACTCTTGTTGGCATTTCTTCCCCAGGAGGAGGGGGTGGAACTTCTACAGGCTCTGGGGGTGGTGGTGGGGGTACACAAGAATCTACTGGAGGGAGGGGTGGAAGATCGTCCGTTCCTGTACCAAAATATCGACATTTTGAATAAGAAGTAAAACTAAAGCAAGGTATGGGTTAGTAAAACACTAAATCCGATAGCTCTATCACTTACTCAGTTAATAGAAACCTTTTTTTTTTTACTCTGTCATTTGTTCATTTATTTTTTTAGCAGGAACCCTAACTTCGTCCAATCAGAGGAAGCGATTTTGGGCCACCTATGCGAATTTTGCGCAGAAACCACGACATCAAGGGCCAAGGCGCGGTATGATAATAGTAGAGAGCACTTTTCTAAGAAAAATGTGACGGGGAAAAAAGAAAACGTCCCTTAGTATTGAACACACATAGAGAAGATAAACAATTGCTTAATCCCATCGCAAAACAACTTTTTACATCACTTTTTAGAGCAAAATTTCAATCGAGTGTCGAAAGTAATTCGAGATTATATTTTGCTTTCCTTCGCTCCGTGATTGGTCCAAAAAACTCGCGCCAGCCTCTCCAACAATCAGATGTAAGAGTAAAACCAATCTCGCGCCAGTCTCTCTAACAATCAGATGTAAGACTAAAACCAATCAGGACTCTTGGTCACGTTTTCGCGCGATTTGGGCCGGCAGTTTCCATCGGTTCTTCAGGGTATAATCCTTTCTTCTGACTGGTCGATAACATAACTTTAATTTTGGTCTCATGACTGACACCCGATCAAAAAGCGCTCCAGGGCTCGACACTAACGGTAGCCAACTAGCCACAGACTAGTAGAAATTTAGTTTTGTCCAGTAGTTTTCGATTTCCACTGGCCAGTTTGGCTAGTAAACAAACTGAAATTGTTGTAACATCCAAGTTGTCACTTGGGGAGAACGGATGGCGCAGTGGTGAGAGCAGTCGCCTCCCACCACTGTGGCCCGAGTTCGATTCCTGGACCTGGCGTCACATGTGGGTTGAGTTTGTTGTTGGTTCTCAGTCCTTGCTCCGAGGGTTTTTCTCCGGGTCCTCCGGTTTTCGTCCCTCCGCAAAAACCAACATTCCAAATTCCAATTCGATCTGGAAACAGTGGACAAGAAGAGCCACCCAGTGGAATGTCCATTGCTAAATTATTATTTATTATTTATTTATTTATTTAGCCACTTGGCTAGTAAGTTGAAAAGTTAGTGTCGAGCCCTGATAATCCTGCCTAATTCCCAACCTGGAGCAAAAGAACTGATTTCTGAAAGAACTTAACCCAGCGCAGACAGAGCACGCTCTCCTTCCACAAATAGCTAATGTGAAATGATTTCTTTTCAGTTTTTCAGTTGTGCAGGAACATTAGAAAAAAAAACAAGAGAAGAGAATCAAGAGCGTACCAAAACACGAACCTGGGGGAGGGGGAGGTGATTCGTCCGCTTCGTCTGGATACGAGGCAGTGAAGGTAACATCTTCGGATCCATGATCTGTTCCAGGAACAGGAGGATTCACCAAGGAATCTGATTGAAAGAAGGAATTTGTGTCATTTTGTGTACATTGGTTAAGAAAAATGGTAAATTTTTGAGCTCCGTCATCGAAAAATGACACAAGTATGGATTCGAAAACTGTCACAAGTATGGAAGTAAAGATAACAAAATACCTTCTTTAACCGATGACGATACCGCTGGTACGGTTGGCGTAACAACGGACATCACGGGCGCTTGCACCAAGGGAACGTAAGCTGTGATAAAAGAAGCACAACTTTGTGTCAGATGGTAGTCCAACTGAAAAACAAATTATATTAAGCTAAATTGCTTTCCGGTAGGATTTATTTGGGGATATTTCCCTTAAGATCAGTTCCCATATTTTGAGTTCCTAGAGAATGTGACATAGAAAGTCACCTTCAGGAGGGAGGTGGTTTAAAAATACTTTGTAGGTTTGGCAAACAACAGGGCGCGGGGAGGGGTGGGGAGAATAATCCAAAAGAAGAACGAGGACGGTTAATGGCGAAGAGGAATAACACGAATTTAGACTTGTAAAATGTTTTTTTTTCCTTTTAATAAAACAGGCATAAAATTTGCCTCAGCTCATCTGGAGGTGTTACATTTTACCTGAATAGCTCCACACTGGTATATTTGTCTGGGAACTGGACACTGCAGCTGTTGAGCTCTGGGTGGGTGTCTCTACAGAGGGCGTGTCCTCCTTCACAGCTACTCCTATCTCGTCTGAGGGGTATTCCCACTGAGAATCACCTGTTATTCGATTCGTGTAGTAATAGCGCTTGTGCGTTCTGTCGAAAGGAAACAGATGAAAGGAAAACAAAAGAATGAGACACCGGACAAGGATGATAGTTGCCTTAAGGCAATAAGCAAGGGGCACTGATTTTGAGTAAGAGGCAATCCACTACAATGGCGTGAGTTCCCGACTCCTTTTAGCTTTCTCATCAAACTTTCTCCCTTTTAAATTCAACTGGCATATTACTATGATATTCATACCGAAGGATGGCCTCTGTCCCGAAAAACCAGTGCCCTAGTTAAGCGCTTTGGCAAAAGATTCTTACACTAACGTTCTCTCAGTAGCAAGAATCTGTCACCAAAAACACACACAGTAGCGTAAAATTTAAACAACCGTACCTATTTCTAAACTAATAAGGAGTACAAGGTGTTTATACGTACATTTCCACTAACCTCGTTCATGTCCTACTTTGTTTCTTTACTTGCATTGAAGGTCTTGCCGTGACAGAAGCTATCTTCAGAAAAGTGTGTCCGAATCCGGTTACTGGCCAGTTGTGCCACAGGACAACCAGTCCACGATGCGCAGCCACAAAGCCGATTTCATAACACACACTTTGACATAACAAATATTTACGACATACAGATGAAGACAAGTACGAAGACTCCAAATTTCAACACAACCAGCAGTTACACTGACACAAGACTGGGATTGGGTAGTTTTGCATAGAAAACATTTTGCTAATGCCGATTTACTATCTAAACAAAAAATGTGACGCAAATTTGGTCCTTTGAACGAAATAAATGAAATCCACATCAAATCATGCTGTTGAAAAGTTGGCAAGATACGATATCTAAGAAAGAAACTTTCAGAGACAAATCAGACGAAAAAGAAGAAGCCGCAAGTTTCCGTATGGTATCAACAATAGTCTGATTTGGTCCAAAAGATCATTGCCACGAAAGATAAAGTCATACTTTTAAAACACTAAACGGAAAATCCACGCATTTCGATAACCTATTACTTCTAAACGTTTTCCGAGAAAATAAAATAAAGGAATCTTCAATTAAAAATTCTCTTTTAAGGTCCTATGACAACTAATTGCTAACATGAAATCCTACAGTTCTTATAATTAAGACAGCAAAATTTTTGGGATTTTTGTGCCGTTCTTAGCTTGTTAGGCCAATCTGCCACAGACAATGTCTCTTTGTTCCAGATTACTTCTTCCTCTGAATGCTAGGAGAAGTCAAAGTTAATTACCACCTAATTGCTAACTTTTTTTTAACTTGCTTACAAGTTAGAACTTTTCTCGAGTGTTTGCTGGTAAAAATATCCAAATGAACCAAAGACAACAGTCAACCACCGCACTGTACTTAACTGCACATCCACAACAAGAACAAAAACGACAACAAAAGTTGACAAATACATTCACAGTTTCATGAAAATACGAGCATGTGGATCACACAGCATGGAAGGATGACAAAACTAGATTCTGATATTTTTTGGAACATAATGTTCACAGATGTTGACCCAGAGGAATCCAACATGATACAACATTGAGTGATATTTATCACAGTCTCTAGCTGAGCAGTTCATTAGGAATCCAAGCCTGTCCCTCCAGAAGGCCACAAACTCCCCCCTGGTAAAACACAAGACTGATACAGTACCTGTCCCAGTGGCACGACCAGCCAGGGGGGGCAGCAGACTCCTCATACTGCTTGAGCTGTGTGTCAGCCTCACAGAGCTTGTGAACCAAGTGACGACTGTCAAGAGCACCTTCTCGCCAATCACTGATTCTTGTCTAGATGGATAAAAATGAATAAAAAGTTTCAACACTGAGTGTAGGAAAGCAATTTTTGTGCTTCATTAAGCAAACACTCTTAAGTACCCTTAGTACATACAATCAAATAGCTTGGCCACACACCTTCATTAGCGCATGCTATTCTGCACATGCATTTCCTCTCCTGCAGGAATGTATAGGCGGACTGGTGAGAAGTCTGGAAAGGTGTTTAGCCCTGATTTTTAGTGCCAGACACCAACCCCCACCCCCACCCCGGCAAACCTTTCCCTAACTAATCTCAATCTTCCTACTGGCAAGAGAAATGAATGCAGGAAAAGCCTATGATGAGAACCTGCAAACAATCTGTTGAAATTATTGATGTGATTTAAATAGATTGTGAGCTGAAAGCAGACAATGGAGGTTTTAGGGCTTTTGTTTTCAAGGCAAAAATCATGAAAGCTTTATATCAAGGACTCAAGCTTTATATCAAGGACTCAAGCTTTATATCAAGAACTTGGTACACTCTGAATAAATATTGATCATCTAAATAGCAGCCGCTGTGATAATTTCACTGGATCACTGTGACAATGTCGGGGGTTTCATTGACATTTTCAGCAAGAGGGAAACTGGTTTTCACAGGTGGGCAAAACTTTTTGAACTGAATTTCTTTACAAGATAAACTTTCCTCCAAATGGTCAAACCAGGTGAGCAAAACCATCCTCACAACTGGTCAATTTGCACGGTGCCCCACCTTTACTGAAACCCCTGCATGTTTTCATCACTTCAAATTATTACAATTTATACTGATCATGAAGGGAATATATACAATCAAAAAGAAAATGTAACCTTCAAGTGTGATTGTTTTGTTGCGAGATCATTTATGACAAATCAAAGTGACAACAGACTTTAGATCAAAGGTCTAGCCTTAGGTTCTCACAAGATTTACCATGTTATTTGCTTGGATAAAACTCTTCAAACCTTTGGAATAGGGGAGAAGAGGTTCATGTACCTCAGACTAGCAACTTTTCAAGGAGCACTGTGTATTACCTGTTATCACAACTTGTAAGAGATAATCTAAATCATTTTTTGTAGAAATCCACCTACCTCCATCTCAATGAGCAAAATCTTCAAGTTTGACACACCCTCACGAGAGACCTCCAAAAAATCCAGCTTGTTGCAGAGTACAGAAGCCAATTCCAAGATCTGTGACTAACATAAATGTAAACCAAGGATTACGAACAGCATAACTGGCACGGTGTGGTTTATAGAAATAGTACAACCGGTATGGCTGGTTGTTTAACCAGTACCAGTAGAATTTCAAAAAATCTCTTACCCTCTGATCCTCTTCTTCTTTATTGTACATCTTCTTTTCATAAGCAGCTTTTCAAACGAAGGAAAATCAGCAATAGAGACATAAGACCAAAGTTGAATTGAGTGTAAAAAGTAATATGTGATTGCATAAGGGTTTGGTCTATTTGCTCAGACCCATAGGAAAAATTTCCAACTAAGAGAGCAGTATGGATAGCACAGCTGTGGGGCTGAAGACCCATCCCAGTTGGGGGGTCCAGAGGCATCCTCCCCCAGCAAGTTTGGAAAATCTTGACACACTGATGCCATTCAAAACATTTTTAGACAATTTTTACGATACACTTTGTTGTCAGAATCAAGTCATTTTTAAGCTGTTTTTTTTTTTACCATAGCAATAGCATTTTGTTACAAAATACATCAAATGAATGCTACTTGTGAACATGCCATTTTACACCTGCATGTTTGCCCATTAAATTTTTTCCAAAAAAAGTAGGGGAGCCTCACAGGTACCCTGCCCCCCTTCTTCTATGGCCTTGTTGCTTTGTTATTGGTCAAGAAAACTTTCACCCCTTTCTAAACCAATTGGATTAAAAAAATGAGAACCAATCACAACTTGGTACAATGTACCCTGCATTTTTACATTGAGTTCTCATTGGCCCCTTGAGACACTTGCTTTTGATGGTTTGTCGCAATTATTGAGGTTTCTGTCCTACAACATCAGCCTAAATGCCCTCAAATGGGAAAGCAGTACAGCTGCTGTTGTCACTCCCATAGAGTGATAGAGTAGGGGAGCAGGGATGCTGCACAGGGAAAAGCATTCACTTCTTACCACTGTGACCCAGGTTTAATTCCCAAACCAAGCCTCACACATGTGGGTGAACAAAAATGTTCATATTTGATTATCATACTAACCCCATGGTTTCCTTGCAATTCCTAAGTTCTTTTCCAAACTCCAATTATTGGAGAATTGTATAGAAGCAAGTTGATTAATTTTTTTTGTTGCATCCTACCTGTCTGTGATTTTTCTCCATTCTTATCCTCAGCAGGAGCAGCTTTTAGATGCTCAAACACTTCAGGTGGCAACAGAGGTTTCTCTTCTTTGTTATCATCGTTGCCTTTCTTAGCTTCCTCATCTGACATGTCCATGCTTTCTTCAACCAGAATGTCTCGTTTTCCTTTGTCATATGTGTCTGAGTAAATCAATGTAATTCAACAATTACTTAATATTGAAGGTGGGAAGACTTGACATTAAATATAGTGCAAGCTGAGAAGTACAGACTGAGGCAGTTTACAAAGGGATTCTACCTTCAGTGTAGACATATTTTCCAGCAGTTAGTGATAGTGGACAAGTCATGGATTGATTTAACACCAAATCTAAGAATTTGCATAGCGATCTTTATAGTCAAAGGATCAATACTCTGCCCGCATCAAACCAAGCTGCAATCATTTTAATCACCATGGCAAGAAGAAAGCTTTGGCAACTTCAGAAAAGCCTTAAGCTAGACCACTGGCCCCATCATTCTCACCAAATATGTTGAGGTGGCTCCCTTGATGATTTACGAATAAAGTTCCCTTCAGAGTACGACTTATGAAAAGAAACCTCAGTTTATCTCAAATTTTTCCCTGAAGAGATTTACCAGTTCAACTCAAGGTATCATAGGGCTTCTATTTTGGTTTTCAATTTTTAAATAAATGACATCACCATGGCTTTTACCAACTGTAGAATTAAGACACCCTCTTACCTTCCAGCAGCTGAACAGCAAAGTCGTCATCGGAGTCATCTTCGACTGCTTGCTCAAGCTTTGGTTTTTTGGCTGGGACTTCCTCTTCCTCATCATCATCCACTTTATCAGACCTTAACACTGCTGAGTTCTCTTCTTCTTTTGGTTCATTTGAGTCAGTGTCTTGATCCTCCCAAGAATCCACCACTTGAAAACTGTCAGGATCTTCATCACTGTTCTCTTTAGAGTTCTCCTCCTTACTGTCAGGTTCAGATCCATCTTCTGAAGGTCTTTCTTGATTTTCTGTAGCTGAAAGGGAGGGGAAGAGGTAAATACACAAGGCTGAGTCATCTTGTGAACACACCAAGGATATCAAACCTCGTGTCTCTGTGTTATCTGCCTCAGCCTTCAGCTTCAACAGTGAACACAGACCTCATCCAATAATTGCTTAGTATTCTCAACACAAGTTTTCTGAATAATGAATCGTTAATCACTTCTGCAAGTTAAAAGGTTAAGTTCTCATATTTGAGCAAAGTGTTGGTGGAGATTAATGCAACCCCTTGGTTTGTACTCTTGGCTTTGCACTCTTGATTTGCACCCCATGCTGGACAGATTGGAAGCTCCTACCCTCCAAGTTAGGGGTTGGGCATGTGGGTGTAATAGCCACCTCCTATAAAACAGGACCATGCCTAAAAATAGCATCCTACACCCTTTACTCTTTAGGAGTCTAATTTCTCCTTATAACATCTCCCTTGAATCATACATTGGGGTCACGAGACTAAAGGGAATGATCACCAACTAAAGACAGCGCTCGACACTAATGGAAGCCAACTAGCCACACACTACAGTAGTAGAAATTCAGTTTTGGCTAGTGGATTTTTAATTTCCACTAGACACTTTAGATAGTAAACAAACTGAAATTTTTGTAAAATCTAAATTGTCACTAGGCACTTGGCTAGTAAGATGAAAAGTTAGAATAGAGCCCTGTAAAGAACCTCTTGCTTGTTAAACAAATTCTCCAGTCAACCCCTTAGGAAATGTATAGAGAGCAGTACTGGGAATATGCATACTGATGCCAGGTAGTAAAGGGTTAAGGCTAAGACACTTCCCAAAATGTGGACATGTGAAAATAAATACCTAGTCAAATAAATGCATCATTTCTCATGGAAAGTCACCTTTTGCTTTACTGTCATCTTCATCATCTTGGTATTTTTGTACCCCTTCCTCTTCCCCTTGACCAGGGACATCTAATTTATCATCACTTGTAGTCACCACTTCAGGAGCTGCTGACAAAAACTGTTCAGGGGGATGCCACTGAACTTCATTTGTCTCCATATTCCAGTAGTAATAGCAGTTTGTGGCTTCATCCAGGCAGGCCTGCCATGGATAGGTATTAGCTTCAAGACATTCACAAAAAAAAAAAAAGAAAAGGTTGTATAATTTACCCTTCAACTTACAGGACCTTGAAAATTAGTTCTGATCATTTGGTGTTAGATCAAGGAGCAACATCTACCAGACAAGTTTGAGTACTTTCATTACCTGAGAACTTTTTTTTGAGTGGGCACTTTAAAAAGTAATCCAAATTAATCACAACAATTGATCAGACCACAGAAAAAAAAACACAGGAAAGCTGTAAGAACTCAGATCAAAAAAACATGCAAACTGCCTGATGCACAATAAAACTGAGATGATCAATTTAAAACTGCTTTTGGCTATGCACTTAACCAGTTACAAGGCACAATGAAACAAAGCCAAAGAAATCCTGAATTACCAGACATTCAGCGGGGAAATTTATCCATGCAAAATCAGTGCTTCAAATTGATGCAGTTTTGGCCATAACAAAGGGGTGAGTTAATGTTGTATTGGTGTGTGCTAACAAATCCCACGATAGTTAAAACTATTTTTCACTGCAATACTTTGACATAGCCAAAGTACTACTTGCTAGGAAGCACTTTAGTAAAATGCGCGAGGATATAAGACTTTTCAATGCACTCTCCGAGCACCCATGCATGTTTTGTAAATCCTGAAAATGTGGGTGAAGGTATCTGTCAAAAAAGTCAAGGTAATATCCATCTTCTGCTACCTCCACTTCCACTGTAATCAGCTCCTTCACTATTCCCATAGCCTACTGCAGGGTACACCAAGGGACGTTCATCTTCTGTGGTAGAACTCACAGCTTCTTCTACCTGGCTGTTTGTTGTTCCATCATTGACAGTACTAGTGGTGTCTGCATCTATAGATTCTATTTCCTGTAAAAAATGAAAGCAAGGCAATTAGTAAAAGACTGTTTCAGACAGAACTACACAGAATAATCATGTTCCTCAAACAAATGAAAATGGGAATCAAACTTACTCTAAATTGAAATCCAATCAATCTGAAATGTTTTTAACTGCAATGTAGCATTATGCATGTACATGCATTAACTTATGAATAAATTCCCAGTTACTGGCTCTTTCAGTTTTAGTGATAAATCAGAGATGATGACAAAAATATGAAAGCAAAATTTGTACACATGCCACATGCTCATGTCCATTTCTGCCCTCATCACATTTTTATGGCTCTTATGAACCATTACTGAAAGACAACTATTAACATGACATTAGCTTCTCTTGTATTAGTATAGGTAATCACATGATTCAGAGGGCAATTTGGAATAAATAAGCACAAGTAAATTTTTTCAAATACTAAAATATTGCATGAGCCCATAGGGCGAGTGCAACTTGTGGTCTTTGAAAAAATTTACAAGTCCTTATTTATTCCATATTGCACCAGAAAAATCATGTGATTATGTATTAATAATATACATGAAAAATTACAAGGTGGCTTATCATAATTATGCAGAAGAAAGTGCATGCATTACGTGCAAAAATAATGTATTCAAACCCTACAAATGACATTGTGTGTTTGGTCAAAACAACCGCACTCGATCAAAACAATAAGATAAAATGAAATTTTCACATCTTTAAGGCACAAAAAAGTTCAAAGTCCACCCCAACAGTTCAAGGATTTGTTCAGTGGTTTTGGTAATTCTGTGAGTTTCTTTGATTATTGACCAATCAGAATGTCCGGTTTGTTACTTTCTTTGCACTGAATTAACCCTCCTCTGCACTGAATTAACTCTCTTTTGCACTGAATTACCTGAAAACTGCATTTATCTTAACCAATCAGAACTGAGTAATTTTTTCTTGTATATTATTATATATAATATCACAAAGAGAAAAAGAAAATGATGATTACAACTTAGCATGACTGTCTCTGTCCAAGATGTGATCAACACAGGCATAACAGAAAAAATTGAAGATACATTCTTTGTGGTTCTTGAGTTGCATCACAATCAGAATTAAGAGATTAATTGTTCAAAAGCACAGAATTCCACATGATTTATTTGATCTTAAACACAATCTTCCTGTATTCCAAGTCTTACTTTGAAGAAGTCTGCCAGTTTTGCATCAATTTCCATGTGCTGTTCTGTTGACGATGCACTGGGTTTGGAAGATTCTTCATGGGAGTTTGTAGCACCAAATTCATCCTCGGCAGGTTCAAGATTGTCTTCATCATCTGTCAGACAAGGCAATATAGCACAGAATTTCAGACCTTACAGCTTTTTGGAGATCATTTAGCAAATTAATAGTTTTGAAATGATTATAATTTATAACCAAGTAATCAAATCAACTCTTTTACAACTTAAGAAATTTCCAGAATGTCTTTCATTTTTCTTCAAATTTTTGCTGGTCGTACACATGTTCCTAGTTCTCTAACAATCATTGCATCTGTAGAAGAGGTTTATTTCATTGCCCAAAGGTACATGAAGCAGAGTACTCATCAGTGTGATTAAATCTGTTTAAACTTCCATTGCCTTCAACATTGCCAAGTCTAGCAGCATGCAGGTCTTAGCTAAGCAGTGTATCAGGGAAAAAATCCCAACATCTGTTGTTGAATTCTTTGATGAAAACTTTGTCGTATTCTTGTGAAAAAATGAACTAAATATCTTCCTATAGTTGACAACCTAGCACAATATTTTACATTCAAATTACTCGTAATAATTTTTTATCAATACTGTTTCATTTAATTTACCTTCATCATCACTGTGATCACCATATGATCCAAGAAGCCCAATTCCTAGATCATAAAATACAGCATAAAATAAAAAAACTGGAATTCTAATGGAATATAAATAATAATTATAACAATTATAAGCAAGCAAAAATTATGCACTTCTGACTGGCATAAAACGAGTGCATTTTTCATGTAACAAAAGGGCAAATTTGTAAAAAGAATGCAAATTACAAAAAGTGAGTGCACGGTGTCAAAATTTTCCCTGCCTTGACTAGCTGTGATGGTTTTTTCATGTAAACTATTTACTAGTAATAACATGATTTCTTGTGTAATTTGGTGTAAATGAACACTTGTAAATTTTTCAAAGACTACAAATTGTACTCACCCTAAGGGCTTGTCCAATTTTGCAGTCTTTGAAAAATTTACTTCTGCTTATTGACACCACATTGCACTCAAAATCATGTTATTACCTCCACTAATAATAACACAGGATTTCTATGGTGCCATATATTCATTAGCTCATGGTGCTTTACAACAACTTCATTCATCTGTCAGGTTCAAAATCTTTTATCTTTCTTTATTTACAGAAAGTTATGCTGTCAGCATGTTTGTTCAATTTCAGATCCTAGCAACAGGGCAGGAAACTTGGCCCATCCGAACGTCCGAGACGGGTAACTTTTCCATTCGGACAAGGAAAAAGGTGATCAAAGTTGTCGGATTGGACACGTAAGTTGTAGAGCTCTGACGCTGCCTGCCTTTGGATAAATAATAAATCCTTTTTTCCCCGTATTTTATAACTAAGTGCCTTGAAAATAAACTTTCTCTTCTTTTTGTGGAAGTTGGCGACGCTTAGCGAAGAGATCAAAGACAAATTGATTTCCATGCGATCCCCGCTTTACAGCACAATTGCATGCACATCAATCACTTATGCTGCAACAGTCAGCGAACTGAATTGCTTGAGTATCGGCAATGTCTTAATCAAAATTGTTTAAATTTTTGAAAAGGTCAAGGAAGCACTTAGGAACGTCAATACAGATGAGGATGTTCCTTCTAAAAGGAAAAAGATTGAAGATAACAAAAAGAATTATGACACCAAGCACATAAGAAAATTTCAGTCGGCTTGGATGACAGAATTCAACTGGGTTTGTTATGAGCTAAAAACAAACAGAATGCACTGCTCCACTTATTGGAAGTTTCCAGAATTAGCAGATAAAAGCAGCTCGACGTATATTGGATGTGGGGATGGAGTTCAAGGATTTAGATGAGAAACTGTAACTACCCATTCAAAAAGTCGTCACCATGTTGTTTGCAATACGAGACTACTGAATGACCAGAAACGGGAAGACAGCCCATTGCAAAAGATGTTTTCACGAATAAGCCAGGAATCACAAGTAAGGCTAGAAAAACTGTTCAATATTGCCCACTTGACATACACCAACAGATGTATCAAAAGAATATATCTTTATTCAATTTGTTGCATTGAATGTTTTTATTGACTAGTTAGCTTTTCAATTAACTGGGGCATGGTTGAGATAAAAAAAAGGATTTTTGAAACCCTAGATAGCTATTACTGATTTTTTGGGACAAGTAGTTTTGTGGTCCAGACAAGTAAAATACACACAACACTTGTCCGAAGGGATAAGTGAATTGAAAAGAAAGTTTCCTGCCCTGTAGCAAGGTGGGAGTAGATGCAAGAATGTCATTATTTATAAATAGTTGGGTATAAATATAAAATATTGCCTAGCCTGATAATGAGTTCCCTACAGCTTAGTTAATGCATCAATTAGTACCTGTTATACTGTTTGGATTAATTGCTCTTCTTTGACCACTTGTTGTAGGTCCTGTGTTCAAAATAATTCATGGGTATTTACATCATGTTATTTCTAGTTACTATCATCATAGCAGGTTAAGTTCACCATGGCAAAACTCCAGAACACAAAAATGTACAAACATACAAATGTACAAATGAAAGAATGTTGCAATCAGTAACAGATTCATAGGGTAACAATCCAAGCTACAACTGTTTTAGTCCTAAGGCCACTTGAAAAAGTTTGATGCTCAAATTTGAAGCATGTAGCCAGTTTGGCAGCCTGTGTTTGGGATTCATGTCCATTCTCATTGTTGTTGTTGTTTTCTTCACAACACTTCGATCTCACTCTCCTCAGTTGCCCCAAAAGTAATAAACAAATGTCTGCCATACTGCTTACTCCATCATAAAGTTGGTCCTTAGGAACACAATTTTAATTTTCAGAAAGAAAAACTGGCTGGCAGTGATATCATGAGGTTTACAGGACTTTATCCCTTGATAATCAAGGGCTTAGATGGGTCATTGTGGTTCCCCTTCAAATCATCCACTCTTTCACCCCCCCCAGAGTGACTGGCATCTATTTTCTCCTTAAAATATCACCCCTGAATAATACATTCAGGTTACAAGAATAAAGGAAATGATCATCAACTAAAAGAAGCTCTTGATTGTTAAACAGATTCTCCTTGACCATACCTTAGGAAATTTGTGACCTCTCACGCGAAAACGTACACTAACGGCTATCCGTTCGAAGGCGTTTTGCCGTTCACTTGCCGTTCACCAGCCGTTCAAAAAAATTTGCATCTGTTCGCACGGCCAGGGTTACCCGTGCAAAAGAAAATAGCATCCGTTCGCACGTCTTGGGTTATCCGTTCAAAAAAATATAGCATCCGTTCCCGCGGCTTGGGTTATCCGTTCAAAAAAAATAGCATCCATTCGCACGGCTTGGGTCATCCGTTCAAAAAAATATAGTATCCGTTCGCACGGCTTGGGTTATCCGTTCAAAAAAAACTTGCATCCGTTCGCACGGCTTGTGTTATCCGTTCAAAAAAATTTGCATCCGTTCGTACTGCTGGTGTTATCCGTTCCAAAAAACTAATAATTATTGGTTCAGCCGGTTACCCCTTGGGAAAAGTAATTAAAATTCAACAGTTCGCACGGCTGGGGTTTCGGTCGTCCATTGAGAAAAATCCTCAACTGTTGTTCATCAGTTCAGAAAAATGCTTAGCCGCATAAACAAGTTCTATAGCAGACGTGCTTTGAAGTTTGCAATTTTCTCTTGTAATATTTTTTGAGAAGAGTTTGTTCTGAGAGGTCTGAGGGCCTCCCCTTAAATAAGATTTTTTTTAACACCTTGCGGGTGACAGGAACTAAAGTGCGTATTCCGAAATGCTGTTTAAAATGAGTACACACATCAAGGACTGTGTCTTTTTCGAATCGTTCGACTTTGTAGATGTGGGTGTCCTGGAATGTTGTTTCCTTATCGGAAATTTCAGCCGTCAACTGAAATGAGCAATCTGTTCCTGGAAGTTTATAGCAATTTTTTTTTAACTGTATCGATCGTTACATCATCTTGAGTGTTTTAGCTTGTGCCGCGCGCGTTGATTCGATCGTACATCAGTTCTTCAGGTTCAGTGTTGTAGCTGTTGCGGGTCGCTTTCTTCTCTTTATTTCAGTCTTAAAACGACCGATTTCACGTTAATGGAAGCGNGCGCTCGTACTTACGCAAAGAGATGGTTTCGTCCACCTAAAATAACCTTAGTTCTCTGTATCTTTGTTACTGGTAGATATTTAACGAGAAATGTGCACAGGAATGTTTGATTTTGAACTTTAAAAAACAGGTTCTGAGTTAATGTCGGAAACGCAACCACAAAGTCGATATTCAGCTGAAAATTGAATGATGTTTGTTTTCTTTGCTCTGTGTCAAAGTAATCTGGTCGTTGATTTAAAATGGTTATCATCTTTACTCGTTCAACCGTTCAAAAATTTGCCACAGCCGTTCGGCCGTTCACCGTCAGCCGTTCAAAATTTTTCTACAACCGTTCAGTCGTTCACTGTCAGCCGTTCAGCCGTTCACTGTCAGCCGTTCAAAACTTTTCCTCAGCCGTTTACCGTGAGCCGTGAGCCGTTCAAAAATTTTCCACAGCCGTTCAGCCGTTCACTTTGAACCGTTCAAAAATTTTTTTCAGCCGTTCAGCTGTTCCCTTTGAACCGTTCAAAATTTTTCTTCGGCCGTTCAGCCGTTCATGTTAGCCGTTTCAATCGGCTTAGCCATCCGTTTGTCATCCGTTCACTAGCCGTGTGTTTTGCCGTTTGAATGGATAGCCGTTAGTGTACGTTTTCGCGTGAGAGGTCACATTTATAGAGAAAATTATGGAGAATATGCATACTGATGTTAGAGTGCTAGGGGTTAAGCAGTTAGTAGAATACCTTCCCCAGCTTCTCTCCTTGATACTCTCCCAATTTGCAGAACCGTTCTTCTACGAGAGGCTTGAGCCACAAGCTGTTTCTCCTTGGACCGTCGACCCATAACTCAACTGGCTGAATGCTTCATTCTAATCTAAAGTGTGCAAAATTAATGGAAAAATATTTTTTTGATGTACTTCTAAAAAATCTTTTTGATGTAATTTACGCTAGGATTAGGCGAAAATTCGACATCAGTGGTTCTTTCTAGGCAGCAGGGAGGATTGGCAAGAGTTCCATAACCCTATACATTAATTATGCGTAGAGTGTTGCAACGAAACCTTTATATTTAGTCTTTATGAAATGGAATGCATAATTAATGTATGGGGTTATATGGAACTCTTTCCGGGAGGATTTCTAAAAAGTACTTTCAAAACTTCATTATATCATGATGATGTTTCTCTACATATAAATATTGACAGAAATTGAAACTAGTTATAAGAGCTCTATCATGGAAACATAAGTTTCCCCGAAATGCAAGTATGAAATCTTACATAAATAACACATACTCAGGAAGGCATTCAAGCACATAACAGGAGGAGACATTTTTTTAACTAGATAGTCTCTTCAAGTTCCCAAACTAACCTTCTAAATGATGAAACTTTAACTCTGAATGGTCAAAGAGTCGCTAACATGGATGGCGGACAACATAGCGGAGCGTACCACATGACAGGCTCCTAAGACTTGTCAGCGGTAAAATATTTCAATTAAAGCTCTAGTGTCCAGCTTCCCTCATCCATGTCAATTGTTGGTTATGGCGGCGATTGCATTCCTTTTTCGGACAGGTAACTTTATGCTTTTTTATTGCTTACACTGTGTGCGATGTTTAATTTGAAGATTGTGGTTGCATGTATTACATGTGTAAGGCATATTGAACTTGGTTCTATCCTTTTTTGTCGTTTCCGGGTAGGTAAAATTTGAGTTGTGCGTTAGTAATTCTATGCCCTCCACTTCCTTGGTTACGTATTGTTTTCGATCGAATGTTTACGTGAGCAAATTAACTTTCCCGCCAGCGTGATTTGATGTTTTGATTTTCGACATGAAATGTGAGTTTTGATATCGGAATGGCAGGATCTAGCAAGTGAAGAATTAAGAACAACGTTTCGGAAGAATATTCGATGATCTTCATGTAAAATTTACGTGCAAAATTATTGTGCGTTCAGTTCGGAATTGACGTCGCGCTGCGAATACTTTTTTCGCTATTTTTTTTAAAGAAAGAGGAATGAAGCCTGCGGGGATCATGAAGTTATAATCGATCGTTGTGTTACGTACGGAAACGTCTGCCATGAAAGTTAACAATTGTTGCTAAAGGGATAAAAAATTTTGTTAATTAATGGGTAAATATCAACTACAACTGTTTGCTTGATTTAATTAACCGTAGTGTCAGCACCCAGGATATTTGTCGGTTTGGTAGGCTAACTACAGCTGGAAAGTAAGCTACACATTTACACTAAATCAATTTAACTTTAAACGTTTTTAAGTTTAAAGGTCAGGCCTTGATATTAAAACATGTCAGGATGAAAGTTTACTAAATTAAATATTCTCCACATATACAGTCTTCATGCAATCCACAAAGACTCAACGCTTGCCCCTGGCCATAAAGTCTCCCATAAAGTCATCTGTCCGTAAAACATCAAGTGGATCTCTACTAAGCGTCACCCCCCTTAAACTCCCAGCGAAAAAGAAGACAGGCACATTCGTGACGAGTCGATCAGATACTAGATTAACTTCATCCTTTAGAAAGCTATCAATAACTCCAAACCCTCATCCACCTTCACGTTCTAAAAGCACAATCCCCAGGAAAGCAAAATCAAGTCATGTTCGAGGATTGAATTCTTATGCAGTCAACTCAGTTGAGGACATTGTGAATCTTATTAAAGAGGGTAAATGTAAGAATATCATTGTCATGGCTGGTGCTGGAATAAGCACTCCTAGTGGCATACCTGATTTCAGGTAAGTAAGATAGTTGTGAATTGTAGATTTTGTCATGGAGTTTGAGTATTGTCTGGAATTGTTATTGCGGCATGACCAATCTCACAAAAGATCAAGGCATGTAAGCAACCGCTAAGGCACAAACTGATTAGCATTGTTAGGTAATTTAGTTTTATGAACTCAGTTGATAATATAAGTTGGCCATGGCAAAGAGTTTTTAAAGCTGATATTTGGAGCACTAGCTCTACGTCAGAGCAAATGCAAACCCTTGAAAGGTCAGCTTTATAATCTTTCTTTGATGGCCAATTCACATTAAAAACTCATTTGATTAATGATGGCAATTGAACTGAGTGGAGTGCAATTTGGGCTGAAATCATACGCTTGATTTCAAAATCGAACGAGCACGCAGCGCAAGTTCAATTTGAAATCACAAGTATGATTTCAGACCAAAATTGCACAACACGAGGTTCAATTACCACTTTATTACATCCAATTTGAAATCGCCCAAATACAGGACTTGGTCAATTCAAGTATTTTATTGATGCAGCAGTGAGCCAGTTTTTAAATAAAAAGCAGAACTGGAAACACTTTTACATCTTATTTTGTATGTTAAACAGAAAGACTGATGTCATGTGTCAAAAGCTCAGTCAAGCGTAAAATGGTGTGATTTAGAGCAAAAAATGGTGCGATTCGTGAATAAATCGCACTAATTAGAGCCAATCAGATTACAGGGACCACCAGTAATTTCAAAATGGATGTAACAAAACCAAATAATCTAACTTGTAATACCCTCCATCAAATGCAACACCATTTTTTTTTTTTTTTTTTTTTAGAAACTTACCCGATTTATTGATTAGAATTATTGTGTACCTGTCACCTTAAGTTTTTCTTACACCTGATTGTCTTGATTTTCATTGTTAACCTTTTACCCCCCTTGGGTTGATCAATGAAAAATTTCTTATTTGGTAAAGTAACAGTACATCATCAAGTAGAAAAGTGATGGCAATTAAGAAATTCATCGGACTGAGGGGCATTCCTAACTTGAACCCCAAATTCTCAAATCTTAAATTGTCAGAACTATATAGCAGACAGTAATGAGAATTGATGTTTAGATCTTAGGAGTGAAGGGGTCATAGGGTAATTTGCTTTGAACTAATTGACCCATAAGAGTGATCAGTATCTAATTTCTCCTTACAATATCACCCCTGAATCACACATTATGGTCAGGAGAATAAAGGAAATGATCACCAACTAAAGAGGCCCTTGATTTCCCATCAAATTCTCCTCATCAGCACCTTAAGAAATGTATACTGGAGAACAATATCGGGGAAATGCAAACTGATATTTTTAGATCAATGCTGTGCATTGATACATGATTGTGTATAATGTTGCTCAGTCCTTAGATTCACCATGTTCTTTCTTGTTTTTGATTTATATATATATATATATATATATATATATAAGTAAGTGTAAAACGATGAAACATAAAGCAAACTGCTAACTGTTCCAGCTTTAATGTGGCGACTTTTCGGCCTTCAGCCTTCTTCAGGTGGAATGTATAACTAAAAACTAAAAATCCTATTTTTAGTTTCTATGTAAATACGTTCCACCTGAAGAAGACCGAAGGCTGAAACGTTGCCACATTAAAGCTGTAACAGTTAGAAGTTTGCTTCATGTTTCATCGTTTTACACTTACTTAACATTTTCATTGAAGCACTGTATCCTCCGCGGATCCTTCTACTGGGAGCTCATCATTTGGTTTACCTTTTTATTCTGTTATATATATATATAGATAGCTCTCGCTTGGCTTTGCCTTTTGGCTACCTTGCGATTGAGCACTCTACACTGGGGTTGCCATGCACTTAGCCTTCGGGCGAAGCTCATCACCTTAGTTGTGATTTGAGCACTCACGCATGGCAACGTGTCTGCACTTGGTCCCACAAGTGTAGCGCCCAGGCAATGGTTTATTCCAGAGCTTGGCCCAGTGTATGCACTGCACTGATGAGACCCACATAGGTCGAAACAGTGTGCACTGTCTGCAGTTATATATATATATATATATATATATATATATATATATATATATATATATTA